CACAGGTAAACTGAGGTTTCCAGGAAAAGTTTATTCAGGAGGAAGAAGCCTTGAAGTTAGCAAGAAGTTACTCATACAATATAACCAATGTTATGCATAGTCCTTGGAATAAGGAAAATTTTCTTTCCAGTTACATTAACAAGTAGCATATGCATATATCAAGATGTATGTGCATTATTTGAGGAACACGATTATCAGCCACTAGCTATAGAAAGAGGCTGTCCTTTGAAACTCTCTTCACTGCTCTACAACAGAACATTTTCATACCATTATAGGACATGCAGGGGACAAAGTAACGGATCAGGACCTAATAATTTATTTATCATCAATGCATAGCTTGGAGAAACAGTATTCTGTTATTAGCGTACATTAATAATCGAAAATTCAGTGACAGTTAGCAAAGAAATGACAGCAGTAAGGGCAAACGAAACAGTGCATAAAGTATAAAAGCATGGCAAAATGGATAGGAGTGAGAGGTACCTAGATCAGTTGAATTAACTCATGCAGATGAAGATTCAGACTAGGTTAGGTTAGGAATCTCTGTTGCCTCGATAAATAGGATGCTTTTGACTTATGAAATTCATTGTTAACCTTAGCACCATAGGCTCTATGACAACGCGTGTCTGGCGCTGATCAGCGAGGCTAAAAGGAGATTGATATTTCGATATTTTAAAGTCGTTTTCCAAATTGTGCTCTCATTATTTCGACAATCATTCGATTGTGTAATTCGAAATGGCAGGCCTTTTGATTATAACCTTGAATAATATAGCCGATACTTCTCAGCCTACGGTCGGATCCAAAGTTTGAAGTTATAGTAAGTTAAGACAAGTCATCAGCGAGGATGTATCTCTCGGTCGAAAATATGCATATTTTGCTCTAAACAGTAAACAAATAGATACAGGGCGCTTTCAATGACGATTTAAATAAATAGATGCATGATAATGGTCATAGCGAAGAGATTGCACAAAATTGGCCATCTTGTAGATCAGCCATTTCAACGCATCCATAGGTCTTTATTTCAATAAAACGACAGCTGATTATTGGCAGGTTTTGGTTTTGGTCAGCTACTCACTCGAGTGGTAGTTAGCGGGACTGACCAGCCGATCTTCAACATTTTAACAAACTTGGTTGTTGTAGATATCACGTTACCGATGAGGATATTGTTTATCATGGCGTAGCTTATGCACATCATGCTGGTACCTCTCCCAATGCAACGTTGAGGGATGGCCACATAGCTGACGCCTAAGGCATGGCAATGAAACGTAGACGATGACCTTCCAGAACTCAGCTACGAAGGCTAATTGACAAATGGAGCTGTTCTGACCTTATTTACACGTCGTCGACGCGACGAGGTCGCTTCAATTCCATTTTTTTCTTATTTTCACGTCCTCAACGCCTTCGAGTGAGTGCCAGTGTATAAGGAACTCTTTTTCATTCTATGACTGTACTCAGGGTTAGAATCGAAGAAGTTTATTAATAAGAAACTTATGTAATAGTGATATTCTTTACGATCCTGTCCAAATTAATGATTGAATCGTTAATAGCGTTAATCTCTCTCTGTTTATAGCTTATATCAGTACAGCGTTGCCTGACGGTCCTCTTTTACACGGCTTGAGTTCTGTTTTCTCGATGCTGATGCAGTACGAAACTCTGTCAAAGATCGATACAATGAATATAAGGCATATATTGTTTAGAAATTTAACACACAGCGCCATCAGCCGCACTATGAGTTGTTTTTCACCTGGGGTCTCGCAATGGCACTCGCGCCTAGCCACAACAATGCCCTGGTGCACGCAGCACACATGTCAAATGCGGCAAACGTACTATGCATAAATTAAAGGGAACTGTTCCCCTCTCGACAGCGACAGATGATCATAAAGTTGCTGAATATATTATAGATAGTCGTAGTTGCCGTATTTAAGCGTACAAGATTCGTGTGAAACTGAAAGGCTAATAAACAACGAACGAATGCTACAGGAGGGCACAAATCAGGAGGTCTTAGGATTTGATAAGTTTTGCCTCATTATTCAGCAATCGACTACATTCTGTCAAAGATACTTTTACTATAGATCGAGATCGAAGAATGCCAAAACTATGAACATGCCATGTCTGCCTTATATCAAGCATTAGAGTACTTGGAAAAGTCAGGAGAAGCATCGGCAAGCGACAACACAAGAGTTCTGCGACAAGAAATACATGGAAGAATATCAACGATCAAGAAATTCACTGACCTCAAAAAGTGGCATATTTTAAGGCAGTCAATCGCCTGAATATATGGTCAATTTTCAGGTTACTTGAAACTAACAGAAGCGAAGCGATCGTACGACTTGTCGACATGACTGGCACAAAGGGCGAAGAGACAACGGTGAAAGTCAGAGATATTTACGCTCTATTAATCAACGACTGCTTGCGGAACAACGAGTCTGAAAAGGTAAAAAGTACTTGCAAACTATCAACTTTTTATGCAACGGATCTTATCAACTGGTTCGTCCCGGGACTCATGCAGAGGAGGAATGAGGCATGTTTTTTGACGTTTAAAGCAACGGTTAAGTGAATAATTTGAAAATAAAGAAGTTATTTGGTTCTAAGCCAAGAAGGGCTAAGAATAGGGCGAATCACTACATGGCTGAGCTATATAATTTTGGTATACTTCTGTCGACCTGTTATGGTATCTTTTGTGGTACTCTATATTTCATAAGTACCGGGTCTGAACTCACAACGAAACATTCGAGGGCGTCATTTATTGCGGAAATAAGGGTATCATTAATTGCTCGGACGATGTCCAGCTCGTTGTAGACAGACGCTGCATCGGTCGAGAAATTATGTACTTATTAGCAAGCACAACAACGGATATAGTCTTTCAAAATGGCATACGCATATGTATGTACCTATGTATGTATGCATGGATGCATGTATGGATGTATGTATATATGTGTGTATGTATGTATGTATGTGTGTATATATGTATGCATGATTGTATGTATGTATGTATGGATGCATGTATGGATGTATGTATATATGTGTGTATGTATGTATGTATGTGTGTATATACGTATGCATGATTGTATGTATGTATGTATGTATGTATGTATGTATGTATGTATGTATGTATGTATGTATGTAT